GAAAAAAAAAAAAAAAAAACGAATAGAAGTTAGAGAAACAAAGTCTTGGACCCACCATTGGTTAGAAAAACTGATACTACCTAAAAACACCATTCAAAAGAAAATTGGGTAAAAGGGTCGAGATTATTTAAGGGGAAAAATAAAAAGAAACAGAATCTTACAAGTTTTGCATGGAAACCGGGCACCATGACTTTGAAGAAACGTCTGCTAATCGGAAGTTCGTTTTCCATTGTAGAAGGAGAAGAAGATGAAGATGGCAGTGGGACTGTTAGGTTTTGAGAATAATTTTGACAGATGATATATTCGTCGGAAAGATTTTTTATCAAACACAAGTGCTCCTATATAATAGAGGAGGTGGATTACCATAATCTAACAGTTTCAGGTTTTGCACAAGGGTTTCTTTTAAATTTCGAAATAAGCAAATTTTGTTCTCCCTCTCTCGTATTTGTTGTCCTCGAGAACCGTTAATATTAAGCTTTACTAGTGTTTATATTTATGGGTAATGGGGTCATATTTTTCAGACAATAATAATATTGTTTACTATTATGGAAATACTAGTAGTAGTATTAGTTAATTAATTCGCACAAGCTATCAGATATTTCTTTTTGTAAATTTAATTAGGATAATTGTAGAGATCTCATTTAGATTTGCCTTCAGAATACTAGCTTCTCATGAGGCTTGAAATAAGACCTCCACCTCTCTTATTTTAATTTTCTGTAACAAGTATTTTAGTCTGTGTGATGATTCTAAATATTATTTTTAAATTTAATAATTAATTTTGTGTTCTAAAACCTCAAAAAGCACTATTTATCACTCCTCGACTTACGTGCGCAGTCCGTAAAATTTTCCGGAAAGTTTTTATGTGAAAAATGAATTAAAATGTGAAATAGAGCCTTAAAACTCAATTGAGTTGACTTTGGTCAACATTTTGAGCAAACAGACTCGAATCAGTGTTTTGACAGTTCCGGTAGGTCCGTATCGTGATTTGGGACTCGAGCGTATGCCCGAAATTTAAGATTTGAAGGTCCATTTGACATCGGAATTTGATAAATTTTGTATGGTTGGACTCGTCTCGGAATGGGTGTTCGGATTTCGTAAGTTTTTCCGAGATTTGAGACGTGGGCCCCACTACCAATTTTTAAAGTGAATTTCAGATTTTTATCTGGAAAATTAGTAAATTCATACGGAATTAATTCCTACGATTTGTATTGAGTATATTGAATTGTTGGTGAATAGATTTGAATCTTTTTGGAGTCAAATTTAAAAGGAAAAGTTGTGGTCGAATACTTGATTGAAATTGCAAAGCGAGGTAAGTGTTGTGGTTAACCTTGACTTGAGGGAATAGAATCCTTAAATTATTTGTTATGTGAAATACATGTGAACGACGTATATGCGAGGTGACGAGTGTCTATACGTCGTCAAATTAATTGTTTGCATAATTATTTGAAAATATTAAATTTGTTTTAATACACGAATTAATTATTATAATAATTATTTCTCTCCTATTCTTTGTCAAATATTAATTCTTGAATTCCTGTAATAATTGTTACATGCTTATTTGAATTATGTGCATTAATTGCTACTTGACATTTAGCATATTAAACATTAAATTATCTATTTTCTCCCTGATTTCCATAATAAATTATTATTTATCATTGTTTGTTTCACAATTAAATCATAATTATTCTATGCTTGTTGTCTTAAAATTTTATATTAATTATTGTATTTATTGGGGCAATTTCTTCTATGAGAATTGGTAAATGAATATATTGGAGGAGCGGGTTGCACACCGCAACAGAATTGATTGAAATGAATATATTCGAGGATCGGGTTGCACGCCGCAACAGACTTATTAAAAATTTCATATTGGAGGATCGGTTTGCACGCCGCAATAGACTTATTAAAAAGCCCATATTGGGGGATCAGGTTGCACGCCGCAACAGACTTAATTAAAAGTCTATATTACACTTGATTAAATAAATATATTGGAGAATTGTAAATGAATGTATTTTGGAAACGGGTTGCATGCTGCAGTAGAAATTGATTGAAATAATAATTGATCATGGCTGCTGAGTTAGCCTCAACTATTAAAAATGAGTTACCTGATTTATTTCTATTATTGTTATTTTTACTAATATTGTGTACAGGTTAATGTAAGTGACCTACCTTAGCCTCGTCACTACTTCGTCGAGGTTAGACTCAGCACTTACCAGTACATGGGGTCGGTTGTACTGATACTACAATCTGCACTTCTTGTGCAGATTTCGGAGTTGGTCCCAACGGCGTACCATAGACTTGCTCGAATTTCAGCTACCAGAGGAGACTTGAGATATGACTGCACGGCGTCCACAGTTCTGAAGTCCCCGTCTACTTTACTTTAGCTGTGTGTTTGTTTCCAGATAGCTTTATTTTATTCAGACCTTTATTTGTATTATTCTAGAAGCTCGTGCTCTTGTGACACCAATTCTGGGACGGTCTTTAGACACCGTTATTTTTATGGATTATTTACTACATTTCAGACCTTACTTCCGCATTTATTTCTTTGTTATTAATAAATTTTAAAAATTTGTTTAAAAATGGCTAATATTATTTTAACGTTGGATTGCCTAGCAAGTGAAATGCTAGGCGCCATCACGGTCCGAATGTGGAAATTTCGGGTCGTTACAGTTGGTATCAGAGCACTAGATTACATAGGTCTCACGAGTCACGAGCAAGCTTAGTAGAGTCTGAAAGATCGGTATGGAGATTTCTGTACTTATCTCTCAGAGGCTATGAAGTTTAGGAACAATATCACTTCTTTCTTATTCTGTCATGTGATTTTATTCTATCATCGATGATTGAACCATTCTACTCTTATTCTCTTGCATATGGTGAGAACACATAATACCTCTACCGATGGACAGGGACCAGAACCCCCGGTGGCAACTATGGCAAGGGGTAGAGGTCGAGGTTGAGGTTGTGCTAGAGGTCGATGGAGGTAGAGCTCAGTCCAGAGCTCGAGCTGCACCTATTGTAGAACCTCAAGTAGATCTTCAGGAGGAAGTTCCAGTTCAGAATATACCAGCTGGACCAGTTCAAGTCCCGGAAGGATTCATAGCTACTCCAGTGCTTCAGGACGCTCTAGTTCGGTTGGTGAGTCTTTTGGAGGGCGTGGCCCAGAATTGTACATTTCCAGTGGCGCCAGCTGTCTCACAGGCTGGGGGAGGAGCACAAACTCCCACTACTCCCTCTCCAGAGCAAATAGCTCCCCAGAATCAGGCTCCAGCAACCCCGCCAGTTGGGGTAGTTCAGTCAGTTATTGCGGCACAGACCGGTGATAGGCCCGCCATGTCTTTTGAGGCCTTATTGAGACTGGATAAGTTTACCAAGCTCTTTCCAGTTCACTTCAGTGGTACACCTTCTGAGGACCTATAGGAGTATCTAGAACGCTGCCATGAGGTGCTGCGGAACATAGGTATAGTTGAGACCAATGGGGGTGATTTTGCTGTATTTCAGATGATGGGTTCCGCCAGGAGGTGGTGGAGGGATTATACATTGACTAGACCGGTTGGATCGCCTGCACTTACCTGGGAGCAGTTCTCTCATCTATTTCTGGAGAAGTTCCTTCCTATCACACTGAGGGAGGATTACCGAAAGCAATTTGAGCGTCTACAGTAGGGCAGTATGACTGTTACTCCGTATGAGTCCCGGTTTGTGGATTTGGCCCGTCATGCTCTCCTTTTACTACCTATTGAGGGAGAGAGAGTGAGGAGGTTTATTAAGGGACTCACTCACCCTATCAGGCTTCAGATGGCCAAGGAGACCGGAAGTGAGATTTCTTTTTAGGCGGCTGCTAATGTCGCGAGGAGGATCGAGATAGTTCTTGCACAGGAGAGAGGGCAGAGGTTTGATAAGAGGCCTCGTCAGTTTGGTGGTTTCGATGACGCCTCGTCTGGAGGCAGGGGTAATTTTGGTAGGGGTCATCCTCCCAGACCGTTTCATTCAGCACTTCATGCATCTCCTGATGATTCAGGGAGTCATGATCCTATTATGCATTACTCTGGGCAGCCAGCATTTAGTGCACATTCAGCATCTATCAGTGCACCACCACTCCAGAGTTACTACAACGGTTATTCGACCCATTTGGGTCAGCTTCAGCTTCAGCAGCAACGGCATCAGGATGGGTGTTATGAATGTGGGAACATTGGTCATATCAGGAGGTATTGCCCTAGATTGGCGAGTAACAGATGTCGACAGGATTCTCGTGCCATCATACCGGCATAAGTTGTTTCACCGCCTACTCAACCAGCTAGAGGTAGGGGTTAGGCAGCTAGAGGTGGAGGTCAGGCCATTAGAGGTGGAGGTCAGACCGTTATAGGTGGAGGCCAGCTAGTTAGAGGCCGTCCTAGAGACGCAATTCAGAGTGATGGGGCTCAGCCCCGATTTTATGCTTTTCCAGCTAGGCCTGAGGCCGAGTCATCTGATACTGTGATCACAGATATTATTCCAGTTTACCATAGAGATGCTTCAATTCTATTTGATTCAGGATCTACTTATTCCTATGTGTCCTCCTATTTTGCTTCATATTTGGTTGTGCCTTGTGATTCTCTAGGTGCTTCTGTGTCTGTATCTACACCGGTGAGAGACTCTGTGGTAGTAGATCATGTCTATCGTTCGTGTGTGGTTACTATTGGTAGTCTTGAGACTAGTGTGGATCTTCTACTTCTTGATATGGTAGATTTTGATGTCATCTTGGGAATGGATTGGCTGTCACCTTATCATGATATATTGGATTGTCATGCTAAGACAGTGACCCTAGCCATGCCGGGGTTACCTCGGTTAGAATGGAAAGGAACTCCTGGCCATTTTGCCAGCAGGGTTATTTCTTATATGAAAGCTCAGCGTATGGTAGAGAAAGGGTGTCTAGCCTATTTGGCTTATATTCACGCTCCTAGTGCGGATGTTCTTTCTATAGACTCAGTACCAGTTGTTCGTGAATTTCCAGAAGTATTTCCTGTAGATTTGCCGGGGATGCCACCCGACAGAGATATTGACTTTTGTATTGATTTGGCTCCGGACGGTCAGCCCATTTTTATTCCACCCTACCGTTTGGCCCCGCTGGAGTTGAAAGAATTAAAGGAGCAGTTACAAGACCTGCTTGATCAAGGATTCATTAGACCTAGTGTCTCGCCCTGGGGTGCACCAGTACTATTTGTAAAGAAGAAAGATGGCTCTATGCAGATGTGTATAGATTATCGGCAGTTGAATAAGGCCACTATCAAGAATAAATATCCGCTACCAAGAATTGATGACTTATTTGATCAGCTTCAGGGTGCCAAGGTATTTTTGAAGATCAATTTGAGGTCTGGTTACCATCAGTTGAAGATTAGGGCATCTGATATCCCTAAGACAGTTTTTCGGACTCGGTATGGGCATTACGGATTCCTAGTGATGTCATTTGGGTT